ATTACAAAACAAATATATGAGGGAAGAAAGCATAATGAAGAAAACCTGGAAGGCTGTTTTGGTTGTAATTGTTACTATCTTGAAAAAGACAGAACTGGATAATGTAAACAACAAAGATAGCATATGGGCCTGTATATGTAAGTGGTGGAAATAACAATGTTTTAGAAAGACATGAAGTTATGAAGAAGTAAATAATATTGGTATACATTGTTTTTAGTTAGAATTTTTTTCTTATCTCTAAATTTACTATTTTTCATTTCTTTTCTGCTTTTAACATAAAGTTGTTTAGATTGATACGGAATACCATGATGATTATATATACATATATGAAAGAAAGATAAAACATTACAAAAAACAATATCAACTGTTAATAGCATTAAATGTTATATTAGAAAATGTCTTATATCTGGAATAGTCCTGAAATCCTTCCCTCCCTCCCTCCCTCCGTTCCTCCTTCGCTTCCTCCCTCTCTCCCGTCCCCTCCCCTCCCCTTTCCTCCCCTTCCCTTCCCTTCCCTTTCCTTCCCTTCCTCCTTCTTTTTCATTTCTCCACTACAGCAGTTATTTCCAGTGCATATACATATTTTTTATACATTTGTTTCCCAGTAACTTTCTCAGCCAAGTATCTTGTTGAGGTCAGAAATGTCTTAAGAGTAGTTCAATTTTTTTGTTGAACAGTTGCATCTGCTTCCCAAAGGAATAATCGTTTTACAACCCTCAAATAGTCTTTACTTTGATAATTTAGTCTTTGCAATAGCTTTTAAGCAATATTTTATTAATAGTATAATAATGCACTGCCAAATGCATCTCATAATCCAATAGCATGCTATCTTTTAAAAATGAAATATGAAACATCTTTTTGCACTCATCTTAGAGCTGTTATTATTTTGATTGATGCGCTGCCTTTTTCAATATTCAGTAATGTGCTTGGCAACTGGCTCACAATGATGTTGTGATCATGTGATTGCCATTTGCAACCTTCCCTGCTCGCTTCCCACAAGCAAAGTAAAGGTGAATCTAGCAGGAGATTGCACATGGTCATTTCCATTTTCACTGCTTTTTCATCCATCTGCCCAAATTGCATATCTTATGGCACTTGCCCATGATGTCTGCCTACTTGACCATCCCTAGCTCTTGCCTGATGGTCCTTTTGTCTAGGAGCTTGTCTCATATCACATCACAATCTTGTGACATCTTTGCTTAATTATCTGGGAGTCCTGGAGTTATGATAGCAACTGGGACTGTGGGAGTGCATTTCTATGTTATATGGTCACATGACATCACATTTTATGAATGTATTGTTTAGCGAAGGAAATTATGGCTCCAGCTGCCATTATAACTCAAGGATTATCTCTATATTATTCTGCTTTATTGTAGATTTTTATATATAGTACCAGGAGTGCGTTTTACTTACTTTTACTATCGATTCGCAACAGGGCTGCGCATGACGTCGGGGTTGGTGGGTGGAGCCTCCCGCCAGTTTTACTACCGGTTCTATAGAACTGATCTGAACCAGGGACAACCCACCACTGTATAGTACTTATAAAATGTTCAACTAATAAGTACTTTTTCTTTCTAAAATATGGCAATGATTTTTTAAGACTGTCTTCCCCAGAATGATATCCTCTAGATATTTTGGATAATATTGCCCATCTCATCAATCCAAACAAGAATGGACAATATTGTGGTATCATGAAACTTATAAACACTTGGAAGACACAAAATGTTAATCAGAAATAGTCTGTGCCTTCAACTCTGGTTATGGTAGGCTGGCAGGACGCCCCAGTCTTTATCATAAATGCTATTAATTGAATTTAATCAACAGTTAAGGAATTTATATCTACGGAGACTTGTAGATAATTTTGTGTGTATTATGAAACATAAAAGAAAGCTCAGAAATGGAAAAGCCAGAATCTGGATTTTCACAGTAGACAAGGCAAGAACTTTTGATTAATTATAATTTGAACTGTGGTAATATGTACAGCTGACTATCTTAAAATGGCTCACAAAAGGAGTGCAATATTATACACAGTTTCTCAAAAAGTTTTCCAAATGCCAGAAAATATTTTTTTCTAGTTTTAAATCCCAAATTAGTTTATCCTGGAATACACCCATTGAAATTACTGGAATTTGTTGTAAATATTTTAAATTACACAAGTGTCTATGTATCTACCCAATCATCACTAATACAGATCTTACCCATAGTCTTCTTGGTGTCAGATAAATACTTTAAAAAGTTCATGTAAAAATAATGCATGATTTTTGTGCCTCATATCCTGTTTTTCTTAATTACTTTAGCAGATAACTGGTTTCTAATATTCTGTTATTAGTATCCTGTTTTTGTATTTAATGATATAGCTTTTCAGTAGCTTCCCAAGTAATTTCTGTAGTGGGATAACTGAATCAATAAATAATGGAATAAATAACAGAAATTAAACAAGGACTCCTGACATAAACTCATAGCAATTGGGAGGGAGGGAGAGAGAAAACAGTATGCTTAGAAATTAGGAAAAGTGAAGGCAAGAAATGAAAGATGATGTATTCTCACAGCATCAGTTTGAATAAGCAAAAGACATATTTTGTGCTAAATAATAGTGCTATGACATTTTGGAAACAAGAGAATTCCCTACAACAGATTGTGCAAAGAAACTCGTAGTCTCTTTTCAGATAATATTTCTGGACTGGACAGAGCACTCTGTAGATTTCCCAATCTTTTCCATGTTAATTTTTCTCCGGTAGCCCAAAGGCCTTCAGATAATGCTGTGAGTAACATGTTTGCCTATTGTGTCATGCTGAGAAATGATGATTCATATTGCCCATGCCAAGCAGGTCTTTGATGCCAAGAGCTCTTGGTAATAATTGTAAATAGCTGACAGTTGGATAATTGCCTGCTTTGCAGTTCACTCCATCTGATCCTTTGAAATCAGTGCTATGGGTTCTGTTAACTACTGTGATGTAGAAATGAGCATATGGGAACTAAAGAGAGGAAATTAATTACTGTTCATTTATTTGTAGTATTTGTTAAAATGTAGGAAACATGCAAGAAATTAATGTAGCCAGATTCAGGTATTGAAGTATTACAATGGTGTAAACTAGCAATTGTCAGATGTTCATTAATATCATAGGATTCTTAAGTGGATCAATGTTTAGTCATTCCTAACCTAGAGGGAGAGTTGGAAGCCTCAGAAAATATCTAAGGTAGCTCCAATCTGGAGTAAATCTATGTCTTGTCATAATTGAGGAATCTTGATCTCAACTTTGTGGTCTACTGCTAATGATTAATTTATATTTATAAAGCTTTCTGCATGTATCTAAATAGTTATTTCTAAGCAGAGTCCCCAACCCCCAGATCATGGCCTCGGGTCTTGAGCCATTTGGAACTGTGCTGTGGAAGTCGTGGCTGAGTGCACACATTCATCCCCACTTGCATGAGCAGTGGCTAGTGTGTGCTCCATTTGTGCAAGTGATGGTCACAGAACTATCCCCTTTAACCCCCACTGCTGGTCCGCAAAACTGGAAAGGTTGGGGAGCTCTGTTGTATAACTGTTCTTGGCAGTTAGGTTATGCTGTTTCAACTCCTACTCTCATACGATGGCATAGAGTACTGCACACCAGAACAACTAGACACAAGAACAGTTTTTTTCCCGGACGCCATCACTCTGCTAAACAAATAATTCCCTCCACACTGTCAAACTATTCACTAAGTCTGCACTATTATTAATCATCTCATCGTTCCTATCACCCATCTCCTCCCACTTATGACTGTATGACTGTAACCTTGTTGCTGGTATCCTTAAGATTTATATTGACTGTTTCTTAATATGATTTGATTGCTTATTTGTACCCTATGACTATCATTAAGTGTTGTACCTTATGATTCTTGACAAAAATATCTTTTCTTTTATGTACACAGAGACCATATGCACCAAGACAAATTCCTTATCTAATCACACTTGGCCAATAAACTATTCTATTCTATTCTATTCTATTCTATTCTATTCTATTCTATTCTATTCTATTCTATTCTATTCTATGAGAGCTGATGTTTGTTTGTTTGTTTATGGAATTTATATTGCTGCCTATTCACACATGGCGACTCAAGATAGCTTACAGAATATTGAACAAAAATAAAACAAGTATCAACGTCTTTATAAATTTAATAAGTGTAATAGCAATTGAAATAGCAATCCTAAAATATATTTAGGTCCAGTATGACTATATATATTATGTACTTTTACTTTATATCCACTGTATTCTTATAGGGCATTCAAATAGCTCATTCTCATCATAAACTGATTAAAAACTCTATGCATTTGCCACTACTAATAAATAATTGTTTTTCACATAAAATCCTGAAATGAGGAATAACTATTTATTCCTTTATTCCTATAATTATAAATGATAGCTGAGTTTTTAAAAACGTGTTCAACTGCATTTATGAGATTGACTAATTGTGGATGATCTGGTAACCATGTTTGATTTTAAATTTGTGGAGCTTAATTATAGTTAAAATATGTGGATAAAAATATAAGATTGCCCAATGAAGGCTCCAAAAACTTAGACACTAGAGAGATCTTTGTGATTGTTGGGAGCGAGTGATGGAGGGAAAGAAATAACATTATCCTAGACAGAGGTATGGCTGACTGCCTGAAATCCTGAACAGAAGTGTCTGTGTTGCAGCATTAATTTTCTTAATGGTAAAAGCAGATGATTTTCTTAACTGATTAATGTTCCATGTTCTACTAAATAAACAATCCATAATGTTCTTTTCATCCTTCTGACTATACCAAAGAAAACAAACTCAAATAACTTAAAATGCTTCAATAAATTTTAACTATTTTGTAGTCCAGTTTAATGTGTGCTAATGAATGTAAATTATTAATTTCTATATTCAGATAAGCTAAACCTACAGTCATTAATTAGTATATATTTTTATCCAGTAGGAAATTACTTCATAGTGCTTTAAAAATGATTTGTTCTTTATGTCCTTTCTCTTTCCAGGTCATCAGTTTCTTCCAGTTGCGGCACAAGATCTTCCATTTGTTTCAGTATCTGGATATTTGGAAAAACGTAGAAAAGGTAAACTAAAAAGGATGATAGAAATAATGCTTTAAATTTTTATAGTAGTTGCAATCATTTTGTTTCCAGAAACAAATTATTCACTTATTTTGGAAAATATTGAAAGAATTTAACCATAAAGTATAGGTGGAAATATAATGAACATTTCCCTCTGGCAGTACAGCTTCAGTATAACTGAGCACTGTGGACAAGAGAAGTTGGTTGTTTCTGTTTTTAATTCCCTGCCCCATAACTTCAGGGGATTAAAAACAGGGGTCATCAAGGTTGTAGTCTATGTAACAAGATGAATTTATGAAAGATGAATATGCCACCCATCTCATTCTACAAAGCAACTCCAGGTAGAGCACAATTAAAATCATAAATATTGAATATTAACTAGATTAGATATAAAACTGGAAAAGCCAAAGCAAGAATGGCACAGTGGTGGCATCCTCCATACCACCTCCAACGTAGGGCTCCCAACAGGGCCCCAAGCCAAATAGCTGAGCCAGGTTTTAATGTTCTTCTGGAAGGCCAAAAGGGTGGAGGCAGATCTTACCTTTGGTATTCCAAAGAGAGTGGAACCAGAAGGCAGAAGGGGTTATTGTCAAGTCTGAAACTGACCTGGCCGAGACCATCTTGGAGACTTCAGTGTTGTCACCATGGTGATGAGGAACAGAGATAGTTGGAGTTTTATAGCCAAAACAAAATAGTTTCCCCTGAGAACCAAGGACATTCTCACAGGTGGCTGAAGAGAGGAAGAGTGAAGTTTCCAAGCAATCGGACAGCGCCTTGATAGGACCATGTGACTGATAGTTTGGGAAAGGGGGAAAAACTTTTACTTTTAATTAGGTGAAAACCATGGAAACCTTTAGAGTTGGTTTAACCAGCCTGGGCCAATATGATATATCCAATAAACTTGTTCTTTAAGGAAACTGCTTGCCTCAGAGTTCTTTTTGCTATGGGTGTATTGCTTGGAACCCTGACAACTATCCTCCTAGACCCTATCAGCTGAATAGGGTCTTTAACGAATGGGGTCTGCAGCATGCCCTTATGCTGGAACAAGTAGGTTGTGGGCCAGTCCACTGGGGCAAGACAATTCCTCAGATAATCTGGTTCTATGCCATGTAGGACTTTAAAATATGGCAACCAATACCTTAAATTGGACCCAAAAGCAAACCAGCAACCAGTGCAGCTTGTGCAACAGAAAGGATGTTACCAATTCTTAGGGTGTTTATTATACTTCTCATTAAGCACTGAAGAAGATATTTGGGTTCAGCTATTTGCTTCCTATGAATATTTTTCTTGTTTCAAAAGACAAGAAAAATGTCTTGGATCTGCAATGTAGATCCTATATTCAACTGCAGTAGCTTTTCTATCATATCACTATTTCATCATAATCTAAAAAAATATTCTGAAAAAGCACATTGTTCACTTAAGACTAAACAATAGATGCTGCTATTAATAGCCACATTTTTGAGATATATAGATCTTACACATCACTATAAGTTTATAAAGTGAAAAATAATATCTTACAACAGTAAAAATAATTTACTGGACCTGGTGAAAACTGAACATTTAAGAATTTTGAAAAGGAAAAGAGGAAAATAGTATGTATGTATGTATGCATCTTAAGCTTCAGAATCTCTGAATTGGATATATGCACTGTCTTATGCATTATCATGTAATTATTGAAATGTAGAGTTGGAAAGGAACTCAGAAATCACAGCTTACCCCATGTTAAGTACAGGATCTCCTTAAATATTTCAAATATTTATCTAAGATCTGTTTGAAACTGTTAGAAAAATGTATCTGGGGACAGGTGCCAAAGTTGGTGAAGAATAATCTTTACATTTGGCAGTCCTTGCTTATATTCATATTTGCACCAGAATATATCTTTTCCATTGCACATCCTGAATTGTTTATTTTGGCCTGTTTGTAATTAACAAATTTTGTTACGTGTAAAAATTTATGTGAATTATTTTAATTGCAGATCACAGTTTCCTTGGTTTTGAATGGCAAAAACGTTGGTGTGCTTTGAGTAGAACAGTCTTCTACTACTATGGAAGTGACAAAGGTATTGCAAAATATAGGGACTATTTTGAATGCTGCTGAATGGATATTAACAGTTAACTGTTTGTATTGCAAAATATAAGGAGTTATCTCGAATATTGCTTAATGGACATCAACAATTAAGTGTTTACAGGCCTCAGAGGCCCCTCTATTGTTTAATTCCAAACCAGATTTATGTGTAATTTTCCTGGTTTTCATATAATTCTGCTGTGCTTCCAGATGGTGTAAATATACTGTCTTGATGAAATGTTCTCTTATCTTCTTTCTTATTTCCTTTGGAATTTGACGTGGACCATTTTTTCTGAACTTTTTAATCAACTTTCAAGATGATACAGCATTATCTTGGTTTAGTTTCATTTGGTAATTCTTCCTTCCCCCACTATCATTACCCCAAACATGATTTCAGTATTTTTGATCTGTTAAGTATCATCAGGTTTCATTTGGTACCAGCTTGTAGAGGAGAAACCTTTACAAGACATCCTGTGTTGCTATAGAGTTTTATAGTTAAGGTTTATTTCATTTCATTTTTTATAAAAATCCAGGTGATATATCATATTGCTACATAATCTAGTAAGAAAATGTTTCAGAATGATATGTATAAGCTGTCCAATGTCAAACGACTCAAAGGAAAATGTATTTGCTTATGGCAATTTAAAATCTGGATGCTACTGAAAACTTCAAGACAGTTGAAATTTGTATTACAAATACAACGTGGCAGTGTTCATGAGGGAGCACAATATATGCTTTCCTTAGCTTACTGTAGTTATTTAGTTTCTTCCCCAACTCTCCAATTTTCTGCCATTCACGATTTAATACTTAATAATTAAGGACAGCACTGGAATCCACATAACTTCAATACTGTTACAACCATTTCAAGTCCCAGAATGTCATACAAATAAATCAGTAACATTTCTTTATAAGCCATAGGAGTTTGGACTATCCTCAGGGGCAATCTTGGAAAAAGCAACATCCAACAGCTTATAGAAATTTATTGCTGGTAGATACTGTCCATTTTTGAGATGCTGTCATTGTAGTTTCACAGTTCCTTACTTAGGAACACTGTTTTGGGCCTCTTCTACATCACAGTGAGAAAGTGAAAGAGAATCAGAACAATTACATTTACATCAGGAGTCCCCAATCCCTGGGCCACAGACTGGTACTGGTCCATTACCTATTAAGAACCAGGTCACACAGTGGACATGAGTGGCAGGCAAGTGAGGGAAACCAAAACCATTCCCCCTCCCTCTGGTCCAAACAAAAATTGTCTTTCATGAAACCATTTCCTGCTGCCAAAAAGATTGGGAACCACTGGTTTACAGCATATCTCAGACACCTCCTGTTCTAATTTCCTCTCTTAGCTCCTTAATGAATAGACAGGCTGGTTAACTAGGGCTAAGATTGTTGAGATAGCTTAATTCATGATGACTGTGAAGGAGAAGGGTAAGAACAAGGTAATATGCTGGTTTTGCCTCTGGTTGATTTCATCTTTCTTGCCATACATTTCTGTTATTGATCATGGGAACAATTAAACTAAAAGCAAGTACATGTTTAATGTCAAAACTCACTCCAGAAAATGTATACAATTAGTGGAGTCTCCACTTACTGTTTCCATGTGGTGTAGAATATCACCAAATTTGTAAAAAATGCACTCTCAAATTATTAAGGGACTATCAGATCACTCAGAAAACTGAAACTTGGTTTAGCAGTAGTTCAACATATACTACTTTAGAGTACTTGATATATCTGTAATGGGATCTTCGGCATGTAAGACTCAATATGAACTGCCAATGCGGATTTGAAACTTAACCAATACATAAACAAAAAGAAGTATATCAAACTTAAATATAAAGATTTTTAAAAAACTAAAGAAAATATATCAAAGAAAAAGAAAAAAGTGCAGAAAGTAAAAAAAAGGAAGGGAAAAGCTTTGAAATAAGAGTTGAATAATACTTTAATTATAATAAAGATTATAAGAGTGTAATAATCTTTCCCATGAGAAAATGCTTTGGTTTTGAATTTTTTTAAAACAAATGATAGGATGAGATATTGAAGTTTGGACACTGAAGTTAACCATAAGGAACTAAATATTACAATTAAAGGAGAAAACACTTAAATATGACTTACTAATACTGAGGAAAGAAAAATATTTTAATATTGGACATATTGAAGGATATTTTTTAACAATTGAATCAGAAAATAATAGTATCTACTTCAATTGGTAGATTGTGTTTATAAAAATATTATAGAAGAGGAACAAGTTTTACTAGACAAGATTGAGATTGATTTGAAAATGAACTTAAAAATGTCAGCATACAAGAATGATATGGAAAAAGATTCTGCACTGGAGAGACAAAAGAAATCAGCTGATGTCTTAATAATTAAAAGGGTTATAGAAATAACAAGCCAAGAGAATTACCTGGATAATTTTCCTATATTGAATTTATATAAGAGACTTGTTAAAGCTTTGAAAAATTTTCTGACAAAAAGAAAAAATGAAAAGAAATCAAGTTCGAGGAAATTATTTACAGGGACTAAAAATAAAAGGAAGGAACATAAAGTTGATTTATTTGATCATTTCTTAATGATTATCTCCTTTTATCCCATTTTCTTATCTCTTTCTTTTTGAGAAACCGGAAGTGTCACGGCGAGACTGGCTGGAAATTAGCAGGCTCCAATGAGCCCGACGAAAATCCAGCCAGACAAACCGCTGTTGCGGGGGGGGGGGTCTTCGGACCAGAACCATTTTGGAGGGATGGTGAAGAAGGACAGGAGCCTCGAATGACCAAGAGGAACAGGCAAGTTCCTCGGAAAGTCGGAGGCAGCTCTTTGATCCAGCGGCAGGGGTTGCAGCCATTAAAAATAACCGCTTTGAAGCTGGGGCAACCAGAATAAGATTTTGTGCAGAAGCGGTGTTTGGACGGAGTACTGGTACCGGATGAATGATTGGCCAACTCATAGATAAAAAAGAAAATTTCTTTGAAAAAAAAAACTTTTAAAAGATCCCGGCAAGGAAACAAGTGACTAATTGGCACTTGGGAATTTTAATGGAGAGAAAAGAACAAAGAGGAAGTCAAAGTATTAAAGCCCAGAAAATAAAACTTTATATTTAGATTTAAAATTGGACTTGGAGAAATTAAAACCAATATAAGAAAAGGAAACCCGAGGGAAAGTATTTTTTAATGAAGATTTGAAAGAATTTTGACAGTTTTGAAGTATGATGGAAGAACAAAGAGGAGGTTAACATATTAAAGCCCAAAAAAGGAAATTTTACAACTGGATTTAAAATTGAATTTGGAGAAATTAAAAACAATAAAAGGAAAAGCAACTTGAGAGAAAGTATTTTTTATGTGGATTTAAAATACTTTTGTAAACTGGATACTTTGTTATTCTGAGAAGTGTGGATTGTAGAGAGACATCTGCTGGTGGAAAGAAAGCACTACAACGACTGACTTGAAAATTCAAGGAAATTACTACATGACCTTGTCCACTATAAGAACTGAGAGGAATTTTAAGGAGTATTTGTTTTGTTCTAAGCTGCTTGGTCTTGACTTCTAAAGGAGGTGGACAATAATAAAGCTTTAAGTTGGAGTGGATTAGACAAACATTTGTACTGGATATTATCTAGAAATAAAAAAGAGACTATATGGAGTAAAATTTTAATTAAATATAAGTGGAAATACTAACAATCTTTTAAACTAATAATATGGAGGCTTTTAAATTAATAATATGTGAGGAATTAATTGAGATGCTTAAAAACCTGCGTGAATCAATAAAGGGCAATAAAAAATCAGAGCATACAAAACAGGAAAAAGAATATAAATGAGAAACAAGAAAATGATATTGAAGTAAAAAGAATTGAAGGCAAAATGTTAGATGATTACACTGGGATTTACAGTGGCAAAAAAAAGAATGGACATGGGGGAATATTTTCCAAAAAAAAGCAATCTAAGGGAAGAGAAGGAAATAGGAAAAGATTGGGTAACAGCAGGGGGCAAATTATATGAGCAATGGACTGAAAAGTTAGAGAAATGATTCAGGGAAAAATATATAATAAATATAAAAAGAAAAAGAAACAACAAGTCTTTAAGGATTGCTTATAGATAAGCAATATAAAAGACAAGGTCAATTGACTATTCTATGAGATGATAAATTATAAATTTGTTTATGCTTGTTGACAAAGGGCGAAGTCATTTCTTTATACATTTCTTTTTTCTTTACTATGGTCGTATTTTTAATTTCTTTTTTAATTTCTATTATTTCTTTTGTGCAGCTTTTGTTTTTTCTTTTGATTTTTTTTTTTAGTTTGCATTACTTTTTTGATCTTCGCAATTTTTAAACTGTTTAATAAAGGAGTTTTTAAAACTCCTTTTGCCAATATACATTGAACAAACAACATACTAAACCTGTAGCTATAGCTATTCCATAGTCCATTGCTTTAATCACTAGGTGAAAAACACCTTTACAAATATCGTTAACTGCATCTGAAGTTCACTTTTTGAATTCCGATACTGGGCCAGGTATAATAGGGAGATCATCCTTTGTTGGACTATTGATTACTGAACCAAGAAGAGACACTGATTTATGGAACACTTGTATTGCAAGTTCCAGGTTCCAGTTCTTGATTCTGTCCCCCCTGCGAGGCATCAGTGTGTGCATTTCACGCTAAATAAGACCATCTGTAAGGATCATCCTGTGGGATTCTGTAAGCAGCCTTTTCAAAAATGTTCTTTGTAGTTTCTCCTTAAAAAAGAGTTTTATCTTTCAACCATCACTAAATTCACTCACAATAATATTTAACTCAGCCTCTTGAATATTCATGAAACAGAAAAACAAAATCTGAATAAATGATAACCTGGTGGGACATTCATTTTCAGTGTTGCAAATGAAATTCTATCTTTACTTTTCATCTACAACAGACAAACAACAGAAAGGTGAATTTGCTATAGATGGCTACACCGTCAGAATGAATAATACCCTTCGGAAGGACGGAAAGAAAGATTGCTGTTTTGAAATCGCTGCTCCTGATAAACGCATTTATCAGGTTGGACTTTTTATGTTGTCTTGAAATTAAACTGATAAAACTGTTACTGTTCCAGTTATGGAGACATTAACATTTTGGTAAAACATTCCCTGACATGTTGGATAAAGAGCTGGAGTGGGGGTAAGGGGGGAATCCTTTATTTTCTTATCTTGTACATTCATATAATAGATTTTGCAAAAAGATTGTTCTAATATTAAATTTTTGGATAAGAACAGCTGATATGTCATACTTATCTGCTGGCTCATTTTACTGCTTACATTTAAATATCTATTATCTAATAGGTTTGTCTGATTTCTTGGATGAATAATGTTGTAAAGTAATTGAATATAAATTCTTCAATGTTAAATATGTATTGCATTGCTTAGAGGCCTAAGAGGGAAATCAAAGTTAAAAGTATGCAATGTGAGATCTGTCAGCTAGGCATCAATGTGAAATGTAAGTTTAATAAGTTTTAAATATCTGAGCTTGCAGTTGAAAGCCAGTTAATTAAGTTGTCAGGTACTGTGTTGGAATGTGACAAGAACATTTTTAAGAAAACTGTACCGAGCAGTCTAAAGAAATTCATGGGTGTCTTCTAATTGTCAAGGGCAAATTTTGTTCATCAGTCCTGGTTTTGACATTGATGAAGAGAAGCAGCTTTTTTTATGCACAGCTGCCAGCTGCTGATCAGAGTTCTAAATCCATCATCCTCTGCTTCAATTACGTAAATTTGTCAAAATTAACTGTACATTATAAGAAGCATCCTTGCAGGAAAAGTACCAGAAGACATGTAAAGAATTATTAATGGTATCTTTAAGAAGTGACCAGAATGCTACTTTCTTGGCTTTATTAATATAGTGCTAGTTATATTTTGATGCTCATAATTATTCTTCTCTAAAATGAAGTTTCTGAACAGTTTACAGCTGCTACTCCCAAAGAAGCTGCAGAATGGGTAGAGAGCCTGAAATTTGTATTACAAGGTATGCCAGTTACTAACAAGATACTTCGCCTATAATGCATGCTGGAAATTGAAGCTTCCCTGTTTTCTCTTTGTTGGTCATGTGATTACTGTGTTGTCTTTAATAGCGCATTTTATTTTTCATCTGTGTATATTTATGAAAGATTAAGGAATCCTCTCTATATATAGGAGTAAATGCCATTATGCCTAGTTGACTCCCCTTCCAAAGAAGTGTAAACAAAATGTTCATTCCTAATTAAAGTGCTGTAATGTATTATATTACTTTGATATGAAAATGGAAGGATGTGAGCGTGTCTTTTGCTCTAGAGAGTTCCTTGTGAACCTACCTGGATAGGTTGACTGAATATCTTTTCTGTGTTGAACAGACATGGGATCTCTCACTATTCCAGAAGAGGAATATGATGACATTGAGGAAAATTCCATATCTCCTTCTCAATCAGGAGTAGCACCTATTTTTGATGACATTTATGAAGAGCTTCCAGGTATTTTTGTTCCAGTTGATTGAAAGGGCTATAAAAGTTGGTGATTATTCTTTGTATGGTAGAATTTAAACAGATTTCACCAATCTGGTGCCCTCCAGGCATATATTGACTAGTTGGGAATTCTGGGAAATGGAATGCCAAAAGTTACACCATGTGAGGTTTGAAACAGTTTTCTTAGATATGGGGAACTATATGTAAATCCTACCTCTTGGACAAGTCATATATTTCTGCCTCAGAGTTCTGTATAACTTTTGAATTCAGATATTTATAATATCTGGAGTAACAGTAGTACTCCATATAAGGGTATTTATTTATTTTATTTATTTATTTTTCATATTTGTATACCGCCCTACTCCCGAAGGACTCAGGGCGGTGAACAGCCATAATAAATACAAATACATATAGAAGTTAAAAACTATTAAAAAACAGATTAAGTAATTTAGGCTCAAAGATTAAAACATCCAAATTTATCTAAAGAGGTCTAAAACCCAATTTAAAAGTCAGTTTAAAAGCCAATTTAAAAGGGAGAGTTAGGCCAGACCAGCTTGTTGGAATAGAAATGTTTTCAGGGCACGGCGGAATATGCGTAAGTCTTGGATGTTTCGTAACTCCGGGGGAAGCCCGTTCCAGATGGTAGGTGCCCCCACAGAAAAGGCTCTCCCCCTGGGGGCCGTCAGTCGACATTGTTTGGCCGACGGCACCCTGAGGAGTCCCTCTCTATGGGAGCGAACTGGTCGGAGAGAGGCTATTGGTGGCAGGAGGCGGTCTCGTAAGTACCCTGGTCCTGAGCCATGGAGCGCTCTAAAGATAGTAACCAAAACCTTGAAGCGCACCCGGAAGACCACCAGGAGCCAGTGCAGCTCGCGCAGGAGGGGGGTTACATGAGAGCGCCACATTGCTCCCATCACCACCCGCGCAGCCGCATTCTGGACCAGTTGGAGCCTCCGGGTGCTTCTCAAGGGGAGCCCCATGTAGAGAGCATTACAATAATCCAGGCGTGAGGTGACAAGGGCATGAGTGACCATGCGTAACGAGTCCCGATCCAACTGGCGAATCAGGCGAACCTGATAAAAAGTCCTCCTGGCCACGGCCGTCATATGCTCTTCTAAAGACAGCCGCGAGTCCAGGAGGATGCCCAAGTTGCGAACCCCATTTGTGGGGGCCAACGACTCGCCCCCAATAGTCAGAGATGGCGCCAACTGACTATATCGGGACGACGGAAACCACAGCCACTCAGTCTTGGATCGGTTGAGTCTGAGTTTGTTCCTCCCCATCCAGATCCGTACGGCCTCCAGGCACCGGGACATCACCTCGAGGGCATCATTGGGGTGATCTGGGGTGGAGATGTACAGCTGGGTGTCATCAGCGTACTGATGGTACTTCACCCCAAAACCATGGATGATCTCACCCAGCGGTTTCACATAAATGTTGAATAGAAGGGGTGAGAGGACCGATCCTTGTGGCACCCCACATATAAGGGGCCTCGGGGTCGACCTCTGCCCCCCTGTCAACACAGACTGCGACCGGTCAGAGAGAAAGGAGGAGAACCACTGTAGAACAGTGCCCCCCACCCCCAACCCTTCCAATCGGTGCAGCATGATATCATGATCGATGGTATCAAAAGCCACTGAGAGGTCTAGTAGGACCAGGACAGAGGAGCAACCCCTGTCCTGAGCCCTCCATCATCAACCAATGCGACCAATGCTGTCTCTGTGCTGTACCCGGGCCTGAAGGCCGACTGGAACGGATCTAGATAATTCGATTCATCCAGGTACCGAGGCAGTTGTCGTGCAACCACACTCTCAACAACCTTTGCAACAAAGCGAAGGTTGGAGACAGGACGATAATTTGCTAACACAGCTGGATCCAGGGAGGGCTTCTTGAGGAGGGACCTCACCACCGCCTCTTTCAAGACGGTGGGAAAGACACCCTCACTCAAAGAAGCATTTATAATCTCCTGGAGCCAGCCTCACGTCACCTCCCGGGATTGACATTACACAGAAATTATAAACACCATCTCATAAGATTATTGGCTCATTAATATCATTTCTGAAATGTAATTTTTCAGTTAGAAAATTGGCTCTCATATTGACTGACAGACTAACTGCCTTATTTGGTCTTTTTTAATTTAGTGTATAGTTCTTAATCACATATTTCTTTGTTCTTTCTATAAATTGTCATCTATTCCTTTATACATGAGATTATGCTTTTAAAGAAGTGACAGGGTAACTTGCTTTGTTTGCTTTTAAAGAGGACCTGCTGATGAATAATAAATAAAAGCAGTGGAGCTGTACCTGAATTTTTCTATATCCATCTACAGAAATCTGATTATGCCAAGGTTTTTACTAATTTTTTTTTTATTCCATCTAGTTATGGCCAAGATTCTAGTCCTTGACAGCCAGATGTAAATCTCATAAAAATATTCTTTATGGCACACAGAGATGAAATTCATTGTGGTGAAAACAAAATGGCAAGAGGGGGTTCATAAGGGTATAAAATCACATCGAAATGAGGTTTCCCACTTGAAGTTGTATAGAAATGAGATCTTAAATAGAGAACTAAAGCACTTCTATACTAAATGTAATAGGAATGTAAACAGTAGTCTAGGAAGGCACTGGTGTTATCAATCAGAAGCTAAGTGATACAGTATAAATTACATAAATGCATATTACGTAGTAGATATTTCCAATCTTTGGAAAATATAGTTTGCATTAAATTTAGCACACTGTATAAGGAAAGGAGCTTACTGAAAAGCATTGTTTTTGACAGATGGCTTTAGGAAGCTATATACATATTTGACTGTTCTATAAAACTTCCTTTTGTGGCTTATGAAGACACATCAGTCAAGAAATGTGCAAATTACATAAGCAGCACAAAATTGGAGGAAAAGGGGTACTGTCATGTGTTCTTGTTGTTCTTCTGGAATTAAGAATTGGCATTCTTTTATGTTGGCAAATGTTACCAACTTATTTGCTTATTCAAGGTTTTCTTTTTTTCCTTCTGTTCATTTTCCATTTCTCAGAGACTACCTGGGTAGTTCTTGCATTTTTGTTGACAAGGTTTTTCGGAAGTAATTTGCTATTGCTTCCTTTTGAGGGCTGAGAGAAAGTGAGTAGCCCAAGGTCACCCAGCTGGCTTTGTGCCTAAAGTAGGATTAGAAATCATTGTCTCTGTGATTTCTAATTTCTAGCCTGATGCCTTAAGCTACTATCCCAAACAGGCTCTCAATTCAAGTTGATATTTAAACTGAAGTTCCATAACTCCCTCCAAGTAAATCCCGTGGTATTTAAAGCAGATTTATATCTGTGTAGATATACATTGGATGTTTTATAAGTCTCCTGTTGAGAAGCATGGAGCTGATTATGGAACTGATTATGTGAAGTAGAAACTAAACTATTGATTTCTTTTATCCCTTAAATAAACCTGTTTTCCCAATTGTAAGCCATAACTAATGATTATGCTATAAATGTCTTTCTATTAATTAATATCCCCAATAGTATGGGAGTCTACTGCCTTTGCTACAAGTCTCTTGCTTTCACTTGTGCACTTTACTATTAGTAATTTTGCAAACAGACTACCTTTTGGTTATCTTATATCTTGCTTCATTTTCTGACAACTAGCAGCAAACTGCTTGTAGACCCTTTCAAGCCTAATTTGGTTGTGAAGCATTTGCTACCTCCAGAGAATTTGTACTTTGTAAAGTGCAATGCACACCCAGCTTCTTAATGTTAAAACAAGCATTGGGATTCCTTAAGGGAAATTAAGAACTAATTTAGGTTGGAATGTGATTGCATCGATGTATAAGAACTGCACAGAAGTGCAATACTAAAGCACAATTACTAATCTACACCTATACACTGCAATGCAGTCCAAGACTGTGAAACTACATATTTCTAGCAGCACCCTGGGGCATTGGGCTTTACTGAATTTAATCAGGTGTTTGCTGCAGTATCTGTTTTAGTGCTTTACATCTGGCCCAGATTAAAAAAAAAACTCACATACAAAACCATGTAAGTAATTCTGCATACCTAAGGGATTCCTGGCCCTTTCCCTCTTAAACAGCAGCTTTACCCTCAATATCAATTTTAATAGAAGGAAGTTTCGGAAGAAGTTACTGATATGGCTTATGAGAAATAGCATGGCCTTTCACAGGCACCTGATGTGCTCCAGCCTCTAGGTGTACTTAAACATGTCTCTTCCACCTAATGTAGATAGCACACTATTTGAAGTATAAAAGCCATTATGATTTAATTCTAAGAATTATTCATAAAAATGCTATGTTTATTTGCAGTGATGTATATAAGATCTCAACATGTTTTAAAACTCTGGTTCAAATAAGACAGAAATTGTCTCCTTTATTACAAATTAGATCAAATAACATATACTCTGGGTTTATCTAAGTCATACAGAGCTCAGCTAGTATAATCTGCTATATGCTTGGAGAGAGCCCTTTAAGCTCTCTTCTTCAGAAATTTCCCAGGGAGTATTACTTCACTGTTCATACTGACCTTTGCAAGATTTTAGCCCCAAACCCCAAATGTCAGCAATAATTGGACATTGGTATCAGTCACAAGTGTAATAAAACCTGCGACATTTGCAGCTTCAGTTCATAAGCATGCTTGGCTCCTGAGCCTTTTGTGCCTGACAAATCTAGTGGTATATCATCGCCAAAAACAAGAGCTTTTGGGTGAGGTTGAATAATAAGCCACAAATGTGTGTAACTCAGTCCTACATTCTAAAAACTTGAAGAATGAGAAGGCAAACAGCTTTCCATTACTACACAGTTTTTGTTATTTTTTAATTATTAGTTTAAGGTGACTTCATGGTTTCCTTGTATTTACATTTGGGTCCAATATAAGTCTAATGTTGACATTATGCTCTACATGGGAGCAATGCCAAGAACAGGATATAAGACCAGAGGGAGAGGGAGATGGGACAAGGATAGATATTTTTCTAGCCTACATACATTCTTGGGATGCTGTTTGGACAAAATTGTCTTA